CTCTGTTACGTATGTAACCCTAGTTCCCTGAAGGAACGAGACGCTGCGTGTAAACGCCGTGGAACGCCTCTGCGTGACGAGTCATGAAGCACGTATGAAATCTGTCCAATGGCGAGACGGAACGTCATAGGCGGGGTGACGTATCGACCAGGAAAACTATAAAGCATCCCGAAACACAAGCGCAACAGCTTCTGATAGGACTGAAGCAAGCGCTCACGGGCATGCTGGGAGTATGGCATAGACACGCAGCGTCTCGTTCCCTTCAGGGAACTAGGTTACATACGTAACCAGAGACGTTCCCATTCAGGGAACTTCGAGCTGCGTGTAAACGCCGGGAACGCTAATACCAACGCCGCCATGCGAGCAGGTGTCCGTTGTATGAAATCAGCACATATTTAGACGAAAGCACCTGCGCCCCTGAGCGGAGCTACCATACCCCTGGTTGAGTGAGCCCAGACAGCCAAAGGAGAAGGCTGACCGGCGGACTCATATGCAAATGAGATGGCCTCGACCACTCACTTACTCAACCTCTGCTCAGATGCGGGACAACCTTTCTTCGGAGGTCCAAAACAAACAGATAACTGTTCAGGCTTTCTCCACAGGGCAGCTCTGTGGACATAAGCATCTAGAGCCCTCAGAGGGCAGAGCAGATTAGTTTCTCTTGGTCTGACCTCACAATACCACGAAGAAAAAGAATTACCAATGGGTATCTCCCGTGAAAAGCTCCACTCAAAGGGACGTGGTAAGCAGATAGGCCACCACATACATCCTTTAGTGTGGAGTGGGATAACCCTGTGGAGAAATGCTCCAAAGGAATTCCAGCACCGCCACACCGGCAGTTAACTGGGTCCAACTGGTGTTCTCCCCACCAAGAGGTGAAACATTGCCACCTCAAGGCATATAATCTCCTCGTGGACGGAGCTCTGGATTGGAGGATGGTCTCCACGACCTCAGTCGAGAGACCCGATTCTATGAGCTGGGCCCCCTCAGAGGCCAAGCCACAACCTCCATAGATCTGGGCGGGGGTGAAGTATCGACCCGCATCCATACTCGGGCCGGCCAACGCGGGGCTACTAACAGTAGAAAGACCCCGACTCGGTGAACCCTCTCCAGAACTCCTGGGAGCAGAGCAATCGGGGGAAATGCGTACAGGGGTGACCTCGGCCACTCCTGTACCATCGCATCCAACCCCAGAGGGGCTGGTGGAACAGAGAAACCACAGCATGCAGTGTCTCAGTCCCTGGATTCAAATAGGCCTACCTCGGTATGACCGAAATGACTCCATAGGAGCTCCACCACCTCGGGGTGGAGTCTCCACTCCCCGGGCCTCGGCCCCTGCCTCGACAGGATGTCTGCTCCCCGATTTAAATATCCTGGGATATATAATCGCCAAAGAAGAAGCTTCCCCTGGGCCCACAGAAGGATCTGGCGCTAGCCTGAATAATGGACATGAGCGCAGACCCCTTGATGGTCTATAAAAAGACCCCCGATGTGCTGTCTGACCGGACAAGAACATGGTGACCCCTCAGGTCTGGGAGAAAGTCCACAGACCCCGGGCTGAGCGACCACTCATGATCGCCCCCAGCCAGTGAGGGAGGCGTATATCGTTAGCTTCTTTGGAACAATGAAGTAACGGCTGTAATACCCCAACTCTCTGTCGGGGGGAAGAACTCGTTCTATCGCCCCCTTCAGTAACAGAGCTTTCACCTCTTGTTCCATGACCAGAGCCTGCTCGGGGGATACCACTGTAGGCAAAATCCCCCGAAAACGAGGCGGACGTGACCTGAACTGGATCGCGTACCCGCGTTCGATAGTCTGCAGGACCCATCGAGATATATTTGGAAGACTTTCCCATTCTGCCAGAAATTCCACTAAGGGTACCAGTCTCTCGAGACTGGCCTCTGGAGTAATTATAGAGACAGAAACAGTGCCCTGTGACCGCGCACAGGCAGGGTTTAACGACTGTTCTGTATCGCTCCTCGGAGCAAACGAGCTTCCCTCGGGAAACCACTCGCTAGGACCGTCTGCGCCCACCCTCACAGGCAGGTTCAGCAGAACGGGTCCCTGCAGACCCCCTGGTGGTTTATGTAAGAGACCACAGACATGTTGTCTGACCGGACAAGAACATGATGATCTCTGAGGTCTGGGAGAAAGTGTTTCAGAGCCTGAAACACCGCCATCATCTCTAGACAATTTATATGCCATCGGAGATGATGGTCTTGCCAACCCGCCGCGGCCGAGCGACCACTCATGATCGCTCCCCAGCCCGTGAGAGAGGCATCCGTCGTCACCGTTACCCGGCGACACGGGGCTCCCAGCGCAGGTCCCAGGGACAGGAACCAAGGTTCTTTCCACATAGCCAGGGCACGGAGACCACGTCGCGTGACCTTGATCTTGCGGAGCGGCTTTCCCCTCGGGGAGAACCCCTCGGTCCTGAGCCACCACTGTAGTGGTCTCATGTACAGCAGGCCGCACGGTAACACGTTGGATGCTGCTGCCATCAGACCCAGAATTCTCTGGAATTCCTTTACAGTGAGTGACTGGCCTAGCTTCACTTGCTTGACAGTCGAGATAATCGAGGCTATACAAGCCGGCGACAGACGTGCCTGCATCGTCGTCGAATCCCATACCACGCCTAGAAAAGTGGTCCGCTGAACTGGCGAAAGCACACTCTTCTTGGCGTTGAGTCTCAACCC